AGAAGAGGGAGTCAAGCTATTTTCCAAAGCGCCTGAAGGCAGGACAAGAAGCAATGGATGGAAACTAATTAAGGAGAGAAGCAACCTAGAACTAAAGAGAAACTTCCTGACAGTTAGAACAATTAACCAGTGGAACAACCTGCCTCCAGAAGCGGTGAACGCTCCAACACTGGAAGTTTTTAAGAAGAAACTGGACAGCCATTTGTCCGAAATGGTATAGGGTTTCCTGCCTGAGCAGGGGATTGGACTAGATGACCTCCAAGGTCCCTCCCAACTTTATCATTATTATTATTATTATTATCCCTCTACCCCAATGCAGCTTGCTCATTTTTTCCCCAGACTGAACCTATTCCTCTGTAGATGTAGGCAGTGCCCTTAGTACGAGGAATGTGAAATGAATGATATTGGTTAAGTACAGTTAGGCTGAATCTTCATTTTAGGATATTATAGTCCAATTACCATGTATATTGATATTTAACATTGTGCTATTCTAGCCTGCAATTGCAAATAATCTTTATGATTATAAAGGGAAGGCATGCCACGATCAAGAATTTCCACTAGTCGGGTCTATGAAGAGGACCTGTTCTGCCACTGGCCCTGCTTTGTGGAATATCTTTCTCTCAGAAATAAGGAAAGGCCCCAGTCTCTTGACTTTCCACAAAGGGGTCAAAACCTGGGTGGGTAGGCCTGCTTGGGGGACACAGTGGCTCACACAGTCATGGGTCTGCTTGGCCCTATGAGACACCCCTCCCCCGCCTACCTGTATTAACAAGTGCTAACCTCCCCATCTCAGAACTCTTCATCATTTGAAATTTTATAATGTTGTTTTATATTTTTATTTTTTAAAAAATTATTCTGTTTTTAATGCTTAACTTTATTGATTAAATTGTACACCACCCAGAGCCCCTCTCTGAGGGAAATAGATGGTTAAGAAGCTTGGAATATAAATAAATAAACAAACAAACAAACAAATAAATGATGAATTTAATAAAAAACATTTCAACCCCCCTTCCCCCCTCAAACATAGCTACCTCCTTTATATAACCTAATGATTGACATTATAGGTTCTTAAAACACAGGCAACTGTGATCAAGCTTCCTTCAGGCTCTGTTTAGCTAGCTCAGGGGTCTTCAAACTTGGCCCTTTTATGACTTGTGGACTTCAACTTCCAGAATTCCTCAGCCAGCGTGCCTAGCTGAGGAATTCTGGGAGTTGAAGTCCACAAGTCATAAAAGGGCCAAGTTTGAAGACCCCTGAGCTAGATGTTCCAGTCTGGGGGCAAATTTAGCTAAGGAATATTGGAGAATAAATTGCCTGTCCCTGAAAATGTTGCAGGAAGACTCTTTCATAAAGGGAGTAAAATCTTCTGACCAAATTGTGAAGTGGCTTTTCTTTATAGTTCTGGCTGCCAGAAGACTTTCTTCTAATGTCTCTTTTCCTTCCTACTACTTGATGTAGGCAGAATGGGAGGGCTGTTCATGTTTTAGCAGTTGGGCTGATCAATGCTTTACCCGGTAATTCCATGAAGACAATATTTTCCCCACAAGGACCTGGAATGACACTAAGCCATTATAAGGAAAATAAAAGGGCATCCAAGCTGCTTTCTAAAAGTGGAGGAAAGGAAACAAGATGATCTAAAAAAGAGAAACCATAAGCTGCCAGCTTCCAAAGTTGTTCCTCAGTAAAAAGATCAGTAATAGATCATTATTTTAGTCTAACAAAAGATTGCTCTCCTATAACAGTTCTTTGAATGCCATCTGTGCTTCATTTATAAGGGTGCAAATCCCATATGTGATGTACTAAACTAAAGCAACAAAGGGTACCAGTGGGTTGCTTATCTGTGTCTCTGATTCTGTGTGTGCTCATTTGTACATTGGCACACATGGTTTGCATTAATACATGTGATGTTATTGTTGTTAATTGCGAAGTCGTGTCCGACCCATCGCGACCCCATGGACAACGTTCCTCCAGGTCTTCCTGTCCTCTACCATCTTCTGGAGTCCATTTAAGTTCACACCTACTGCTTCAGTGACTCCATCCAGCCACCTCATTTTCTGTCATCCCCTTCTTCTATTGCCCTCAATCTTTCCCAGCATTAGGCCTTTCTCCAGTGAGTCCTTCCTTCTCATTAGGTGGCCAAAGTACTTGAGTTTCAACTTCAGGGTCTGGCTTTCTAAAGAGCAGTCGGGGTTGATCTCTTCTAGGACTGAACGCCTTGCAGTCCAAGGGACTCACAGGAGTCTTCTCCAGCACCATAGTTCAAAGGCCTCAATTCTTTGTTGCTCAGCCTTTCTTATGGTCCAACTTTCACATCCATACCTTGCAACTGGGAAAACCATGGCCTTGTCTATACGTACTTTTGTTGGCAGGGTGATGTCTCTGCTTTTTAGTATGCTGTCTAGATTTGCCATAGCTTTCCTTCCCAGGAGCAAGTGTCTCCTTGGCCACTAGGCACTCTTTAAGAAGAAAAGTCCTCTTTGCATCTTTACTCAGAAGGAAGAGAGTGAAAAATCCCACCTTTGGTTTTCTTGCCCTTTCTGTAACTTAGCAGAGTGTTTGTGGTGTCAGAGAAGCTAAATTCCCTAGCAGGCTGAGGGTGCCGATTGCAGAAGAAAATACATGTTTTTATTTTATTCTGATTTTCCACTCTTCTCCCGGCTGGGACAGTTTTGTAACTCAGCTAAAATTATGCTAGAAGGATGTCTTTCCTTGTCTTGAAGCCTACTAGAGAGAGAGAGAAGAAAACTTTTCTGTTCCTGACTGATGGTTCAGAACCTGAATTTTGTAGACTCTGCTGGTCTTTTACTACAATTTAGATTTAAAGGTTTAGGTCTGACTGAGTAACTCTTTAATGCCTAGATATTTAGGGATAAGATTGTGTGTTTGTGTGTGTGTGTGTGTGTGTGTGTGAGAGAGAGAGAGAGAGAGAGAGAGGGAGAGAGAGGGAGGGAGGGAGGGAGGGAGAGAGATTTCTTCCATTTACTCGGGTCCAATTCTTGAAGGCTACCTTGTCAAATCCCTTAGTAAGATTTCAGAAGTTGTTTGCCATTGCTTACTTCCTAGGATGTGGTTGGCCCAGCCACCCAACTGGCTTTGTGCCTAAGATGGGACTAGAACTTACAATCTCCTGGTTTCTAGCCTGGTGTCTTAACCACTTCTCCTCACTATATATATAAAAATGAGCTATAGGCTCTATGGAATACAATTTTTAAATTAATATCTATAGATAAAATACTGCCCTGAAAATCTATAGTCAGCACACAGGACATAAAGCTTTTTTTTTTTTTTTGTAGAGAGCAGAAAAAAAATCTTATATAATATAATGTTACTAAACTTTGGCGTAGCCAAGAAACAATTCAGCTGAACATATTAATTTTTAATATTCCAGACAAAAAAGGATCTCCTCTAACCTGAAAAATGGAATCACAACAAATGAGCTAAGCCTAGGTCAAAAACAGCAGTATAACTAGGACAATGCTATTCATTTATTCCTCCATGGTTTTAATGTGCACCCAACCACTTCATTCTTCCAAGCCATGACTGAGCAATAATGTCAATATATTATACATATATTAGTGTATATGTACCACTGATTGTATATATACTGTATATTGTATACACTGTACAATATCTATACAATATATACAGTATGATATATAATATATACATGATATTGTATTATATGTATATATTGTAAATATATTGTATTGTGTGTGTACACACACAGACATATACATATATATAAACATACATACAGTGCTTTTTTCTAAAATAAAAAAAAAGGTGCCGGAACTCACACACATCATACAACCCACCTTGCCTACCCTACAAGGTTCCATCCAAAAAAGGTGCCGGAACTCCATTCTGGGCGTTCTATGAGAAAAAAAGCCCTGCATACATACATGCAGGATGAAGCCCTCTTCCGCATATTTCCAACCAATTCAGTGTTGAGCTTTCTTTTTGCCAATTGGGCCTGCAATACTTGCGGATGTCATAGATCCATCTTCTTTTAGGTCTCTTTCGTGGATGCTTTTAATCAAGTGGGATCCATTCTACGATAGATTCCCCCTGCCATCAAATTCTTCTTGCTATGTGACCAACCCAATAACCATCTCAATTCTTTTACTCTCTTGATGGTATACTTTGATTTCTTCTCTAATCCATGTGCGGGTCTTTCTATCTTGTCCCGTGATGCTGAGCATGTCTCTTTCCATGGCTCTTTGCACCACTCATAGCTTTTGTATCAATTGTGAGGTTAGTGTCTATGTTTCACTGGCATATGTTAGAACAGATAGAATACAGTGATGGGAAACTTTTCTGTTCAGGTATAGGGGGAGGTTGTTCTTGAAAATTATGCTTAGCTTGCCAAATGCCTGCCACCCACATTTAACACGCCATTTAATTTCCTTTATTGAATCATCTTCCATTGAGATCTGTGGGCCAAGGTATATGTAGTGGTCTACTATGTCTAGTTCTTCTCCAGATATATATTTTAAATTTCTTTAGTGAATTTATTAAACATAACTTGGTTTATTTTTAAGCCAAACGGTTATCCTGCTTCATGCAGCTCTTGTATGTTTCTTTGTAACTCTTCTGGGTCTTGTGAGAAGAGAACAACATCATCTGCAAATCTTAAGTGATTTAAATAGGCGCCATTGATTTTTATTCCATCTTTTGCCCAGTCTAGTTTGTGAAATACTTCTTCAAGTATTTGTATGTATGTATGCATGTATGTATGTATGTATGCATGTATATACATATTAGTGTATATATACCAAAAGTGGTATATATAGACTGATGTAACGTATCTATAATACTATTATTCATTGATTTTATCTTGTTATAATCAACTACACTAAACCATTTCACAATTTTACTAGTAGGATCCTAGAAGGCCTGGTTTGGGCACTTCTAATGTCAACATGCAAACATGAACAATATTTTACTGTCTCCTAAACTTTTTCAATAATGTCAGAACAAAATAAGAAACAAGCCCAAACCTTTCAGAGTCCGGAAGAGAATAGGGTCAGAGAGAGGTCCCACGCCTTTGGCATTTCGAGCTTGTATTCTGAAGTAATATACTGTATCCAGGTTCAGCTCCATAATTTGATGCGTAAGTCGGTCTCCACTGATGGTCTCCATGATCCAATCGTCAATGGGGGAATTCTTTTCCAAGGTGTAGAACAGAATGTAAGCTGTAAAATACAGAAGGAGATACCATTCTTCTCTATTTACACACATCTGTGCATTTATTAAAGTAGAAATGTCAACACTTGTACAGAGTCATATCTAGCCCTATCTCAACAGTGTGAAAATTTCTTTCCAATTTCAACCGTGTTAGTATTCTTTTACAAGTACATCTTAAAGGGTATTGTTGGAGGTGGTGCCTTGGAGTCAGTTTTAACTTCTGGCAACTGCATGGATTTAGCAACAGTTGTTTCTTTAAGGGGTTCACCATTGCCTATTTTCTAAGGAACAGAGAGTAGACTGGCCTAAAGTCATCATCTGCTTTTATTCCTAAGACAGATGTAGAACTTGTGGTGCCCCTGGTTCTTGCCCAGTACCTTTAACCACTAAACCAAACTGCCTAAGATGTATTATTCAACTTTAATTCACTGAAACTCCTCAAGTCTATACGTTACTCCTGGGCTGCAGATGGGCTGTGTTAACTCCTGCTTGCAGAACTAGAACCTTAATGTTAAATTTATAGATCTGGATAATGCAATTTCAGATAGGTTATATTCATCCATCAGTCCATCCATCCATCCATCGTCTATCTAGACTGTGGAATGCTCAGGACTCAGTGTCCAAAATGTGCAATGGAACTTACAGAAGAACAAATGCAGTACCATTTCTTGAGATAGTATGGCTGCTTTAGGGTGTTACATTTGAACTCCAAAGCACCCTTTAGAGATTTAATCAAAAACAAATAAAATAATTATTATTATTTTATCTAAGTTCCTTAGATGAATGCAGATGTAATTGAACTGAAAGTTGTCTTATTCAGACAATGTCCCAGAAGTTCCTTGTATGAGGCAAGCACAGTGTGCTCTTTTGCATGACTGCTCCAATCCATCGGTCACAAAAAAGCAATCTTCTTGCAACTAGAGATCACACATTTAGGAGAACTATCTGAGGGTTGTAGGAAGTGGAGGTTTTTCTGTAGGTTAGCTGGGTCAGCATTAAGATAAAATAATTGTGTTACATCTAGTAGAAATATGAGGGACCTAAACTCACATTTCCCTTCCCTTCCCCTCCCCATCTGTTCCTTTTCTTTCCCTTCCCTTTATTTTCTTTTCTTGTTTTCTTTTCTTTTTTCTTTTCTGTTTCTCCTTCCTTTATCTTCCCATCCCATCCCATGTTTGGCTGTCAAATTTTGATGACTTGAACTTAGGTCTTTGTGGATTGTAAAAAATGGGTTGAAAGCTACAAATAAAGCAACCCATAGCTTTCAAACGACCATATCTTTGTCTTACACAATATGACAGATTAAGTAGGTCAGGAGAAGGTATGGTGTTATGCATAAAAACTTCTATGAGCACCTAAAAATCCAACACATCCACAAATATTTTTCCATTTCATTTGCCCGTCAGGTTAAGGTAGAAGGATGGCCAAATCCTATTAGAAATGTAATCATTGTCTTTGATATGGGTTGCTCATGTGGAACAATGCACAGATGCCAGCATTTATGAAGACCTATGGACCATCCCTTTGTATACAAAAACACACATGAATCCCCCGCTAAGTAATTCTCTTGCCTAGTTGCCTGAGTGTACATGTCTCCTTTTTGTGATAAACCTTGCAAGAAACTTAGCCATTCATAAGAAACTAAAATACTCCCACATTTTATCGTATGGCTCCCTTGTTTTCAGCCTCTAACCATTCCAGTCAGCTGTGAAATGAGAAGATTTGGGCAGCTGGATGTGGCAAGTCAATAGGGAAGGGTTGCATGACATCCTGCTTACCTTTTAGCAAGCATATATAAAATTGTACCCTTAGTCAGAAAGCATTTCAAAGAATGATAGAATGCATAGGTTTGTCAGACTTAGTACAATACTTCTTGTAGCAGTATAGCATATCATGTTTAATTTGCATGCACTTATACTTAAGGCAACTCTGAATGCTTAAAAAATGTGTGTGAGTGATAATGATATGACAATCATTATCAAATATCAGCAGTACTATAGCCTTAACTAACTATTGGCAGGATTGGAAACTGCAACTGGAACAAATAGCTTTTCCAGCTTCAAAAGGACCTTTAAAAAGAAAAGGTGAGATGATGACTCTAGAAAGAGTACAGAGAAGAGCAACCAAGATGATTAGGGGACTGGAGGCTAAAATATAAGGACCGGTTGCTGGAATTGGGTATGTCTAGTTTAATGAAGAGAAGGATGAGGGGGGGGGGGACATGATAGCAGTGTTCCAATATCTCAGGGGCTGCCACAAAGAAGAGGGAGTCAAGCTATTCTCCAAAGCACCTGAAGGCTGAACAAGAAGCAATGAATGGAAACTAATCAAAGAGAGAAGCAAGTTAGAACTAAGGAGAAATTTCCTGACAGTTAGAACAATTAACCAGTGGAACAACCTGCCTCCAGAAGTGGTGAATGCTCCAACACTGGAAGTTTTTAAGAAGAGACTGGACAGCCACTTGTCCGAAATGGTATAGGGTTTTTCTGCCTGAGCAGGGGGTTGGACTAGATGACCTCCAAGGTCACTTCCAACTTTATTATTATTGTTGTTGTTGTTGTTGTTGTTGTTGTTGTTATTGTTATGAAGTGTCAAGAATACCTGGCCTCTCTTTGACTATTGTTACACAAGCACACCTAATCTCTGTCAAAGTGTAATTTAGTGCTACTGTTACCAATTATGTAACAGTAATTTATATAACTCCTCAAGGAATAAGTAATTCACAATTCTCAATAGTCCTGGATTTTCCTGGAAGTCTGGTTGGAATCAACTAAGGTGACACAAATATTATGTTTATTTTTATTTGATTTATATTAATGTATTATTATTATTATTATTATTATTATTATTATTATTATTATTATTATTATTATTATTATTATTATTATTATTATTATTATTATTATTATTATTATATGGTATGGGGAAAAGACCTTGGGAGACGGGGCAAAGAGATGCTGTCAAGGGAATGATCAAATAAGGGACAGCATAGCTTACAAATGGATAGTGGGTAGAGCAGGGATGTCAAACTGCCGACCCATGGGCTGGTTGCATCATATAGAGACTGCACCCACCCCAGGTCCGGCAATGCAAAAAAAGTTGCAATAGGTCATAACATGTTACGTGACATGGAGAATTTGACACCCGTGGGATAGAACAAGACTCAGAAGATACCATCCCTATATTCTGGGCTGTAAAGGAGATGGGTTGTGTGTGGGGAGAAGACTGTCCTTTCAGGCTTACAAGATTCTATCAAAGAAACGTTACAATAAAGTAGAATTAACTCACCTGGTTGCGATTTCTATCTTGCAAGGGATCTTGCAAGTCTGAAAGGATAGTTCTCACATCTGTCTTCTTAACAGCTTAGGGAAAGTCTCTTTTGAGCCTCTTGCCTCACCCACAATCAAGTTGTGGTCTATGCTGATTCTTATCTGACTGTTTCCTAGGCAGCATCTCCCAAGGTCTTTCTTATATCCCATTAAGGTTGGCCACTCTGATGTGTGGGAAAGCTTTGATGCACAATTAAGCCAAACCACAGGAGCATCATTTCTAGTAAAGTTATTAATAACTTTAAATGGGTCTTCTTGTATACATGGCCTGAAAACTCATCAACAACAGTTTGAACTGCAACGCCTCTAAAAGATCCAAAGTAAAAGAAGAACGAGTTAGGTATAAATTAGGAAAGGTCCAGGACTGTATGGATCAGGAAGGCCTTCATCTAACTATTACTGTAGTCCTTAATAATACATAATAAGACATGAACTAAAAGTTTGAAACAAAAACTCAGAATAGAATAGAGCTAGAAGGGACCATGGAGGTCTTCTAGTCCAGGGCTTTTCAACCTTTTCACCCATTGTACCACTTTTAGGATATGGCAACATCCGAGTACCACCAGTCGCCTAGCAAGATGTCAAAAACTTGATGACCCCTCCAAAAAAAGGAAAAAAGTGATAAAGTACAGGTAGTCCTCGACTTATAACAGTTCACTTAGTGACTGTTCGAAGTTACAATGGCACTGAAAAAAGTGCCTCCCAAGCCACAGCCGAGCAAGACACCTGCCTGCCCACCCGGCGGCGCTCTTCCTCCTGTTCGAGGTTTTCATTGTTGTGAGCATTTCTGTTGAGGATTGGCAGCGGGGATGGGGTGGGGAGTGTTTGGTTTTTATTCCCCCCGTCTGCTGGGTGGTTACAGCAGGTTTTGGTCACTTCACATGACCCTGGGACACTGGGACCATCATAAATATGAATCAGTTGCCAAGCATCTGAATGTAAATCACAAGACCCTGGAGATGCTGCAACATTCCAGCTGATTGATGCTTCTTCTGGGCTCAGCAGAAGTGCCAGGAGCCTGGCGCTGATCCTGGCGCTTCCACCGAGCCCCGATAGCCCTGAAAAAGCGCCGATCATCCCTGAAAAAGCGCCTATCAGCTGGAAAGCGGCACTGATCCTGGAGCTTCCGCTGAGCCCTGACAGCCCTGCAGCTCCAGCCATCTCTCACTCAGGCTTGTGCAGTGCTGCCACCGGTTCAGCTCATTCCCCTCCCCAACTACCACTTTTTTAGGATGGTCGCATACCACCTGCCAGGTGCCAATGTACCACAGGTGGTACCCGTACCACTGGTTGAAAAGCCCTGTTCTAGTCTAACCCTCTGCTTAAGCAGGAGGGCCTGTACCATTTCAGACAAGTGACCGTCTTGCCTCTTTTTAAAAATCGCCAGTGATGGTGCACCCACAAGCTGTTCCACTTGTCCTCACTGTTTGGACGTTTCTCCTTAATTCCAGGTTGCTTCTCTCTTTGATTAGTTTCCAACCATTGTTTCTTGTCCTGCCCTCTGGTGCTTTGGAGAATAATTTAACCCCCTCTTATTTGTGGCAACCCCTCAAATACTGGAATACTGCTATCATGTCACCCCTATTTCTTTTCTTTAGACTAGCTAAACCCAATTCCTGCAATCGTTCTTCATATGTTTTAGTCTCCAGGCCTTTGATCATCTTAGTTGTTCTTCTCTGAATTTTTTCCAAAGTCTCAACAACTTATTTGTAGTATGGTGACCAAAATTGAATTGGTCAAACTTTCCAAATGTCTGGAAGTTAAAACTAGAAAGTTCTTCTGGTTGTATTAATAAAAGGAAGGAAGTTTCTCACTGACAAATAATTGCATTGTTTCATTTGTGTGATTATAAATGTGGACAATTTTATAAGTTGCAAAGTATTTCTTATACAGGATTGCTGTCTATTCATTGTCTACAGGGATCATTTAACTACATTATTAGCCCTTTTTCTTTCTTTTTAAAAGCTTAATTCCATTTTTCTTAGCAAATTAACATGACCTAATGGATATCTTAATTAGGCATAGTTTTTAATAGCAATATTTTGTGCACTAAGATCACCATTCATTAAATCCAGTCCTTTGTCAATCAGTATTAAAGATATTGAGATGGTGCTTTAGTTTCTTATTACACAGTTAAAACATCCACCAATAAATTCTATTACCATGTGTCAATATGGGCACCCTGTCATTATCTATATTATGTTTTACATTATTTGCCAAACAACTTGCTTATTATGAGCTGTCCTTAATTGCAACTGAAGGGCTGTATTATTTTACAGTGTATCATATTTTTTTTCTAGAAAGAAATGAAGGACTTGCTGTCCTCAATTCTCGTTATTTTTGCATGGAATTAATTACTAGAATCTCTTGCAAAACCTCCTTCTGTGTAAAAACAAAAACAAGAGCAGCTGAGATATATTGCCCAAAATGGCTATTTTTGTAAAAGGTGATGCCATCTCGGTGTTCCACAGAATTTCTCGACAAGCATTATTTGATTGCAATTATTATTGCAACCCTCTTTTCTCTAGAGGTTTAAAATGAAATACATAAAAGTCCTACCTCGTTTTTGTAGTAATCTTGTGTAATAGGTTGGGTCCAGAGAAAACTACTGGCTAAAAGTGATTTAAAGAGCTGCTCTCTCAAAAGGGGTCTGGACCCTGAGATTCCATAATTAAAGTCAACTTCAGTGGATATTAATGGTATGTTTCTTCATAATTTAATAAAATGTAGTTAGTCCAGAGCAGGGGTCTTCAAACTTGGCCGTTTTATGACTTATGGACTTCAACTCCCAGAATTCCTCAGCCAGTGTGGCTGACTGAGGATTCTGGGTGTTGAAGTCCACAAGTCATAAAGGGCCAAGTTTGAAGACCCCTGGTCCAGAGAGTGAAAAAGCTATATTGTGAACAGGTGTAGGAACTTAAAGCCTATTATGCTGTTTTGAACTGATGACATATGTCCATTTCCATTTCAGATCACATTCCTGCTCAATTGCCTTGAGTTAAGATGTCAAAGGTACCTTGAACGCTCTTCCTAAAGAAACCTATGGTGTCAACCATATACTAGAGAGCCAGGTTGGTTTAGTGGTTAAGGCACCAGGCTACAAACCAGGAGACTGTGAGTTCTAATCCTGCGTCAGGCATGAAAGCCAGCTGGGTGACTATGGGCCAATCACCAGGAGACTGTGAGTTCTAGTCCTGCCTAAAGCATGAAAGCCAGCTGGGTGACATTGGGCCAGTCACTCTCTCTGAGTCCAACTTATCTCATAGAGTTGTTGAGAAAATAGGAGGAAGGAATTTTGGGTATGTTAGTCACTTTGAGTTATATATCAAAATAATTAAAACGGGATATAAATAAATATCATTCTCACTAGAGGGCAGATGCCTTTTACTTTGCATTCAGTTTGACTAATCCTTTATTGTAAAACTACCAGCGTAATAAGGGGTTTTGGGATCCATCTCAGTCTTTACCAGAAAACTGGATGAAAGGTAACCAAACTAAATGAAATATCATGAATCCAAATTTGAAGGCAATCATCTCCATGTATGATGATTAGCTTGTTATTTCTTCTATCTATTTTCTGCACTATCTGTCACAAACTTAGAAAGAAGGGCCATCTAACTATGAATAGATCACCACATATTGCCTACTCAGTAGTTCCCAAAGAAAGATGACTTAACTCATTGCTAACACTAAATAAGAAATAATTTAAATGAGACTTGGAAGCATTTACCCCCAGATTCTGCTGCCAAAGGTTGATTTTTAAGAATATGGTGATCTAAATATGTAGCAGTCCTGTGCTTGTTAATTATGGTTTGGCAAGAAGTTCTACAGTGAACTTGAATCAGATCTAAATAGTAAGTAGTAAAGAAAGTGATGAGCACTGAAATGTCAAATAAGTTTTTGAAACCTATCATTAATGAAATAAAATTGCAGATGTACGAAAAGTCCATTTTTGAAAAAAAACAAATGCACACTATGTTCATTGACAGGAAGATTGGTGGGGCTTAGAATAGGAAACACAGAGAACTTTTGGACTTGAAATATGTGAGGAGAATCAGTAAGCTCATTGGAAAATGATAAACCATCTGAAAATATAGAGCTCTATAAGTGAGTATATTCTACACTAATGAGGATACTGCTAAATGTTCTGTATTAAAGTGCTGAGAATTGACAGTTTATATGAAAGAGGTGGCTTTTTTCATTATTTATTTTTCCTAAGTTGCACAATGATACTACATGCACCTCTGTTGCAATGGATATGCAGATTTATGGAGATTACAGCCCCTAATCAATCCAAAATCAATCAATTGGAACAGCCTCCCACCTGAGATTTGTGGGATAATAATAATAATGATAAAGTTGGAAGGGACCTCAGAGGTCATCTAGTCCAACCTCCTGCTCAGGCAGGAAACCCTATACCATTTTGGACAAATGGCTGTCCAGTTTCTTCTTAAAAACTTCCAGTGTTGGAGCATTCACCGCTTCTGGAGGCAGGTTGTTCCACTGGTTAATTGTTCTAACTGTCAGGAAGTTTCTCCTTAGTTCTAGGTTGCTTCTCTCCTTGATTAGTTTCCATCTGTTGTTTCTTGTCCTGCCTTCAGGTGCTTTGGAGAATAGCTTGACTCCCTCTTCTTTATGGCAGCCCCTGAGATACTGGAACACTGCTATCATGTCCCCCCTCGTCCTTCTCTTTGTTAAACTAGACATACCCAATTCCAGCAGCCTTTCCTTATATGCTTTAGCCTCCAGTCCCCTAATCATCTTTGTTGCTCTTCTCTGCACTCTTTCTAGAGTCTCAACATCTTTTTTACATTGTGGTGACCACAGGAAATCAGGAGCAAGGCAGTTCAAATGAATACGGGCTTATTGCATGCCAACACTCTCTACAGGAATCTGAACTACTATCAGTCAAAGCAAATTGGCAGTAGATAAGAGTCAACAGAATTCAAGGAGGGCTGGATTTAGATCTCTTCTGGGCATGAAGGAACTTGAGACTAATGACACATTTGACCCCTCCCTCAGGCTCATGCTGGTCATTTCCTATATCAGCTCTTTCTCCAAGCACTGGACTAGGATGGGGGTTGTACTGCAAGGACGTTTGATCTAGCAACTGGGGGAGGGAAGTGTCATGGAGTATGCACCTGCAGGAGGGGGAGAGTTTGGCAACACAGAGTTTTCCCAGAGAAAGGCCCAGATTAAGAGACTATCCTGAGCTGAAAGTGGGGAACATAAAGAAGTTTAGGTTAGCCACACCCTAAAATTTCTCAGAGTATATCTATTAAGGTAGACGGTTATAGCTTTAATCTGGTAAGATTTTGTCCATTAGGTGCAAGCAAATAAAGTGTCAATACTGAATTGCTAAGATGCTTGCTAACCTTTGTCACTACTCAACTTGCCATAGAAACAGGGGGGAGGGGAAGCTTGGGAGAAATGGGATTTTAAGAAGCCATGTATGCACCATGATACCCAAGGTCACAAAAGTAGGTATCTGACAGAGAAGGTTATGGACCGTTCTCATAACAAACAAACAAAAAATGTGTTTGGGCAACATGAACGCTTGGTGGGTGGGGGTTATGGAAAGCTATTGTTAACTAGCCAGATTTTTATGTGGGAAACTTAGAATTGATTTTGCTTCTTCAGTACCGAGATGTATATTCAATAAAGTTTATCTTTTATGGTACCTCAAAGCCGTTGAGCTTCCTCAATGTTAGTCGGATGGTTGACATTAAGGATTGAACTCAATTGGATTTCACTGGGTCATCTCTGGGCCTGACAGGAAGTGTCCTTTTGTTTCTAACTAAGTTTTTTTATGGATTGCTGCCAAGTCCCCTAAGGCTATCATATGAATAGGCAGCCATATAAATTCTGTAAATAAATAAATAGGCAAGAGATAATTTGCCACTGGTATCTAGGGACTTCAGTAGTAGTAGATCTTTTGCCCATTACACCTATTTACAAGCATCAGCTTCTTTTCCCCCTCCCATTTTAAAAACTCCTTTGGGAAATATTAGCCAATATTTTGTGCCTGTTTTTTGTTCTAGTTTCAGGTAGGACAATTCCAATAATTCCAGATGAATTCTACTACAGATCCTACTGGAAGAATTTTTTTGTTTTGTTTTGTTTTGCTGGTAGTTCTATGATGGGGAAGTAAATATTTCTCTTTTCTTCAAAACAGCTCACTTTTAAAAATACAAAAGGCTGGGGTTCTTGGGCAGTTATTCCCCCACCTTCCCTTTTCACCTAGTGAGTTTACATGGCCATTCCCAGGAAGGGTTGTGGTGCAAGTCTTCTAAATTCCATGTCTTTCTGTGTCACCTTCTGAGAAGGAGAGAAGATACAGAGCTCAAAAGAAACTTACCAGTAATTTTCCCATTGGCTTCTAATGGAGGTTGCCAGCTGACAATTACAGCTCGAGGCTTGCCCTCACGGGTAATGACTGTCAAATCCTTGGGAGCAGAGGTCGGGGCTTAGAAAAAGACAGAAGTCCAGAAGAGGGAGGAAAAAACACACAGAGAAGAGGACACATTAAAACAATAATGATACAAACTACCATGAAGTTTTGTACAAATTAGACATTCTTACCATTACTGCTAATAAATAAATTCTTAACTGAGGACAGTGCAGAAGCTGTTAAGATGTTGTCAACTTTGGAAGTTTATGTTCTAGCCTACAGGTAGTCCTTGATTTATGAACGCATTTGGGACTGGTACATCTTCACTAAGCGATGTTTTTGTTCAGTGAGGTGCACCCAATTTTATGACCCATTTTGCGGTGATGGTTAAGCGAATCATGCAGTCATTAACTGAATCCAGCTTTCCCCATTGATTCATTGGAAGTCCTTGGGGAAGATCATAAAGGGTGATCACGTGACCCCAGGATGCTGTTACCATTGTAAATATATGCCAGTTGCCAAGTGCCCAACTGTGATCCTATGACTATAGGGACACTGTGATGGATGTACATGTGAAGACTGGTGGTAAATCACTTTTTTCAGCACTGTTGTAACTTTGAATGGTAATTAAATGAATGGTTGTAATTCAAGGACTACCTTATATACAAACCCAAGGATCTCTGTGCTTGATTACTTACAGACAAGACATGCTGAGCAGGATGTGAGACACACCTATATGTAATCTATCATTAGTTCCTTTTCTTTATTCTCTATTATTGTACAAGATTCTCAAAGTTGGCTTGAAACTGATATCTAAAGAATGCTTATCAAAGATTTCTCAATGGACTTAAAGGATGCATTGACTGTGGTATCCCAGAGTTCAGTCTTATGCCCTGGACACATCTGTATTTTTAATAATGACTAGGATGAAGAGCTGGAGAAAATACTAATCAGATCTGAAGATGAAACTGAATGAGATAGCTAATAGCTCAGAAATCACTAATAAACTTTTTTCTCTTTAGCTTAGAAAAATAAGCTGACAATAATACAATGAATTTTAATCAAGCAAAGTGTACAATTCATCACATCAGAAAGAAAAATCAAATAACTGAGGGATAAAAGTACCTGTGAGTGGTACTTGAGAGAAAGATTTTGGAACAGTAGTTTATTGCAAACTGAATATATCTCAGCTGTATGAAGTGGCTGCAAAAAGGTACGTGCAGCAGTGTCAGGGTTGATTAATCAAAGTAAAATGCCCAGATCACAAAAATACTTCCTTGTTATTCTTCACTGCTCAATCCCACCTTGAGTATTGTGTTGAAGATCTGGACAACACCTTTAAGAAAGATTCTGATAGGTAGAGCCAGTAACAAAACAAAGCAATGAGGATGACCAGGGGATGAGAAATGAGATCCTCCAAAGAGGATTTGAAGGCATTGGAAATGTCTGCTTTTAAAATAAGACAGCTGGGGAAGCAACTGATAGCACTCTTCAAATACTTACAAAGATATGAGGCAAAGGCAAATCAAGACTTCTTTCTCATCTCAGAATACAGGACACAGAATAATGGATGGAGATTGCAGAAAAGCAGATTCAGACTGAATGCTAGAAAAATAGCAGGAGCTGTTTCGCAGTGGAGTTCAAAATGCTCTTCTTAACTGCAGCATGACAACCCTTTCCCAGGGATGCTTTAATTTAGACTAGGTAACTGTAACTCTATAGGTCAGGGGTGTCAAACTCGCAACGTCACATGATGTGTCACGACATATTGCGACCTTTTTTCCATTGCCAGCAATGAAGTGGATGTGGTTTCGCCATGACACATCTGGCCAGCGGGGCAGCAGTTTGACACCTCTGCTATAGGTCATTCTTTCATATGTACTTCCTTACCTAAACAGAAAATCCAAATCCAAATCAACTCCCAGGTTCTCAAGGTTGGCCACAATCATGTGATTCCCCATTAACTTTCCCTGCAACCTTCCCAGGATTCTTCCTTGTGGGAAGGTGTCACTGAATATTGTAAATGAGGATCACATAACTGCAGCAGCAAGAAGGTGTTGCTGAACAACAGTAGCACAGTGGGGCTGAAACAGCAAGAACATTCCGAAATTTCATTCTCATGGAGGAAATGGGTCCAGTATTCTGTAAGTTAGCCAGTTTGAGATACTTTGGTTGAAAAAGTTTTGCTCTATGATGCACTGTTTCATCCAATTAAATGTTACAGACATGAGAGCTTTCATAGTATGTAGACTTCTGAATAGGGCTGATGGGCCTACTGGCTCTGCTTTTTTCTATGGTAGACAGTTATGTTCCTTTGTTCTGATCTCTTTTGACCATTCTCAGGCTTCTTCCCTTAAGTGATCTTAATTATTTTTAGTTAGATGTCATCAAACAGGTGTAACTCCTATGACTTTATGGGTAAATGTCTCCATTCTGATCTGTACCCATTGAGAACGTGGAACTATTTATTCATTTATGCATTTATTAGATTTCTATAGCCACCCATCTTATGCGGCACAACTGGGAGGCTCACAAGAATAATAAAATAATACTATAAATAATATTATCCCAGGACAGAATAACAGAGTTGGGAGGGACCTTGGAGGTCTTCTAGTCTAATTCCTGCTCAAGCAGGACACCCTATACCATTTCAGACAAATGGCTGTCCAATCTCTTCTTAAAAACCTCCAGTGATAGAGCACCCACAACTTCTGAAGGCAAGCTGTTCCATTGGTTAATTGTATTCACTTTCAAGAAATTTCTCCTTAGTTCTAGGTTGCTTCTCTCCTTGATTAGTTTCCATCCATTGCTTCTTATCCTACTTTCAGGTGTTTTGAAAAACAGGTTGACCCCCTTGTCTTTGTGGCAGCCTCTCAAATATCTATGCCAGGGGTCTTCAAACTTGGCCTTTTTATAACTTGTGGACTTCAACTCCCAGAATTCCTCAGCCAGCATGCCTGGCTGAGGAATTCTGGGAGTTGAAGTCCACAAGTCATAATAGGGCCAAGTTTGAAGATCCCTGATCTATGCTATCATGTCACCCCTAGTCCTTCTTTTCTTTAGAGTAGACATTCCAGTAATCTCCTTAATTATGTCAAGACACCTTCATCATTATCTTTCTTTCCACTTTCCTTAACTTTACCAACTATTGTCATTTTTTTTACCCTACCATCCAACATATTTTAAACCAATTTACTTCCTAACATATACATTTGTTTTCAAGCACAATTTCATTACATCCCATTTCAGCACCAACCCGTTTTGTGAACTTGTACTTTTTTCCTTGTATTCATTTTATGAGCACTTTTCTGTATTGTTTATAAATGATAGTTTTATAAATAATTTTCTCTAAACTCATGTTCATATTTCCACAGGAGGATTATATTACAAAAATGGAGTAGCATGAAACTCTCAACATTTTATATACATATATATGGATTTTATTAACATGGATGTGAATTTGATAAATTCATATATTTCAAAGGAAATGTTGCCTCCAGCTGGACCCCATATTTCAACAACCTGGTCTTAAGGGGCTCTCTTGGTAAACAGAAAGAGACATTTTGCATGTCGACAAAAGAAGCTGCTAGGTCAAAGCACCCTGAGGGCTAAACCTAAACTAATAATACATTTGAAAAAAAAACATTTTAGTAGTGTTAAAATTTTCCTCCACATAGCCCTTTTTGTTCTCTTTGTGGAGTACACATCCACTTAATGTTAGCAAACAGAGAAATCTCATCATTAGGTAAACTCTGGATGCAATCAGACATGTCCACAGAGGATGGAAAAAGTCAAGAGGTGATCATGGTCACACTTTTGAAGCTCCACATATTTTAATATGTGGGTGTGGATATCAGCTTGTTGACCTCCTTGGCAAAAACTACTTGCTATCATGTGACCATAATAATGTGACTTTTGGCACTCTTCCCATACTCAATATTACTAGTTTTGTAGAATATTTTGTAACACAGTAAGCAGTCCTCCTAACTAAAAAATCCAATTGAGGGGCTAACGTCTATAGCATTCCTTTGCAGATTACAAGACATCAGGTTTCTAGGTTTTAGAGGGATAGATTTGGGACAAAAGAAGTAGCCATGTATTAGGTGAATTTACCAAGGAGAAATGAGGAATATAATCCTATCTACTAAATGTTCCATGAATGATACATTCAAGAATCATTAAACATACATAGCTTTAGAGTTAACAACATGATCAATAGCTTGGGCATAAGAATATGAATAAATTTTGGGTTACAGTTGAAGAATAGCCAATCACTATTATTTTTAGAATGATTTCATGCTTTCTTCTTCAAAATTGCCACGTTTGCACACATTTGAAATCTTTTTAAAGGCAAAGAAAGCATAATATGATATTTGGAAATGACTTGAATGACAGTGATTTGAAACATATACATGGTAAGATTAAATGTTGCCTGATAGTCTTCATATATTTAAATCCTTTGAGAACATTACATAAGAAAAAATGATAAATAAATAAAAATGTACTTTTAAAATGATTATTGTGCAATGCAATAATAAATAAATGAAGACCAATATATAACACTGAAGAAAATTTTATCTTTACCAGCTTGAAAACAGACCCTTAATTCTTCTTATAAATATTAGTAAACTATGCTGACTACAACTTCATTACCAATTATTAATAAAATTGTAATTATTGTTGCCATGAATTTCTACATGCTTTAAATCTTGCTAGACATCAACCATCACTTAGCAGTAGTAAAAAAACAAAAGGACCTTTAATTATTTTTG